CTTGATATGATTATGAGCAATAAATTGTGCTCGCAACGTCTTCAGTAAACAATACTGTATAACACTGTGAGACTTTATCAAAACAAAATTTACCCATAATGGAAGTGTACTCACACTTGTGTAATCTGTGGCGAATTGACAAAAATTCAAGATGGATTGTATTACAAACCATGACAATTTAATGCTTGAATTACTGACTAGCTCTGAAATGAATCTTCTTTATTTTTATTGAGAGCCTCATGGTAAACTGGAATTGACTAAATTGAGTATAAACAAAAGTTTCACGCTTATAATAGCGGATAGTGAATATACCATTCCGTAGATTGATTATATATTTTGAAGAGTTTATTTGTAAGGATTTGATTTATTTTTCGAGTCTGATCACGGACTTATATCAGTTAGAGAAACACGGAAAACGAGGGAGTACTGGACAGCTGTTTTATCCTAGTTTGGGACTCATCAGCGGTACGCACCCATCACCCTGCTTAGAACCCAGGACTTTCCGGTTACAAGGCAAGCTCGTAGACCATTCAGCCAATGGGACCCGATTCAGTTGCTGATAAATTCTAACTTCTACCAATTCGTGATTTTAGCGTGACCGCCAGCCAATGTCATCGGCGGGAAATTCATCCTCACTCTCTACTAGATGAACCTCACTGGTCACGACTTCTCCCTAGAACTCCAAGCAAGCAGTTTCATCCTGTAGTCAGTCATTAGTGAGCATCAAATAATTTTCAAGAGTTGATTTGTAAGGATTTTATTTGTTTTTCGAGTTTGACCAGAAAAAATATTCACCTTTGACTAAGTGGATATATGATAACACGTTCAAAGTCATTACTCATTAGCTCATTGTTATGACGACGCTGTTTTAATGAGTAATTCGTTTCCTGGGTTAACACTGATTTAACATTCATGTTAATCTTCTTTATTCTTGGTGATGGCGCTGTTTTAGATCCTTGATAAAGACGACAATCAAATCCTCATCCTGTGACAAAATTGTCTCACTTAGCAGAACAGTAAATTATCTTCGCAGTCAGCTAGTCATTTCCATACTGACAGTATTGATTCCATCATCCAATTACCCGCAGAAATGCAGAGCAATTTATTAGTTGATGATGCATTATTCACACAGTTGGGTTTCAATGAATCCATGATAATTGATTTTGACGATCAGACTTATAATCTGGATTCCGAAAATGCATCAAAATCTAGTGAAGGCACTATTAATACAAAGCCAGGAGGTATTATCAGATCAGCTGAAGAGTAGAGATTTTCACAGCAGTTTCTTCTATCTCCGAGGAGAAGGAAGAATTCTCTCCAGTTCCCATTAAATGACATGCTATTGAAAATGCTTCTAGAGATATTTTGAACTCAGATGGTGAAATCTGTTGTGATGTTCGATTCATTCCGAAGACTTTTGAAGATTTTCATTATCTTGTCATAATGATTTGGATCTATTGGGCACTGAATAGATTAATAAACTATCCTTTTATTTATTTATTTATGGTGTAAGCGATATTTTCCATACTCTGCATGGTAAATAAGATTGTTGTTTTTGTCGTTGTGGTTGTCGCAGTTAAATTCGACACTGATGTCTCCCCCAGTGTCAGGGAATATTTTCAAGTGGTCAGTTGTCTAAAGTGTCGTATCAGGAGGCTTATTTTGGAAAGATAGATAACAACTAACTAATAGCTAACACTTCGTTGTAACACTCTAAAACTCATATCGTATGGAGAGAGATGCTCATTTGCAATTTACGATAACCACAACTTTTACAAAGTAACATCACTTTCTAATTGTTTGATTCGGGTCTAATGAACTAGCTCAAGTGACAGAACCACCGAAAACCCTGAAAGCTCTCAACAGCAGTTCTATCCTAGTTTAGGCTCTTTTAGAAGGAATCACTCATCAATCTGGTAGCGGTCAAATCCGAGTTCTTCAGCCTTCCAGGTGAACACATTGAAAGGCATTGAAATCCAATGACACATAAAACCTAACTTCTTTCAAGTTTGACGACGGATTGATACCAGTTAGAGAAGTATTGGAAACCAGTCCTGCAGTGGTGGACAGCTTTTTCATCACACTAGTAAGCAGCTCACTTCCAATACTCGAATCCAGGACCTTCCGGCCACAAGGCAGGCCCGCACACCATTCAGTCACTGGGACCCAACTCAGTAGCCAGTCTGTGAATTCTAACTCTTATCAATTCGTGATGTTAGCGTGACTGGCACCAACCAGTGTCATAGTTGGCGAGTATCTGTCCTCACTCCCGACAGGATGGACCTCACTGGTCACGAATTCTCACTAGATAGAACTCCAGTCAACTTCGTCCTGTGGTCAGTCGCTAGTGAGGATCAGATTAGTTTTCAAGAGTTAGTTTTGTGGAGCTCTGATTTCTTTTGCAATCTGATCATGTATCGATATCATTTAGAACACCAATGAGTACATCCTGTCGATGAGTCCCAAACTAGGACGAAACGCCTGTAAGGTAATCCGTGGTTTTCAATGGTTCTGTAACTGATATCAATCCGGGATCGAACTGCGTAACAAATCAAATCTCTACAAATTAACTCCTGAAAATTCTAACTTCCGTCTATTCCATCAGTGTTAAATTTGATTGTTTTTCCCAAACCTGAATTGCTGAACCTCATGGATCATGACTTTTTGTTAGATAGACATCAAAGCTTTGTTTCTTGAAATTATTGTGTCAGTGATGAAATCCAGTTTGATAGTAAGAATTAATTTTTACCTTTTTATTTTGTGATCTATACGGTTGAATTATTCAGTTTCCGTTGCTCATTTTTTGTGTTAATTTTAGCCAACAGATAATGCTCAGCTCACTTATTCCAGTCAATAGGAGGGAAAATCAAAATAAGTCGTTATCAAATCGATCAGTAACCTCCTACACAAACAAGATTACTTTTTATTTTATTCCTTTACGTTCCGAGAGGAACACAGAGCTTCAAGCTACAGCCCTGAAGTTTCGGTAGCAGTAGTTTTACTATTATTTTTACTGTGTAGGTTTGCTAGCCTCACGCCTAATCTTCCCTCTTTACCAACCTTACTATACCGGCTTAGTGAGGTTTAAGAGTGCAGCGTCCGCCAAAGATTGAACTCTAGATTACGTGAAGCATGATTGGTGAGCGTTCTTCCGCTGAACTAACGATGCACGAAGCGCTCCTGCACTGTAAGTCAGACCCGAGCCGCCTGGGTGAAAGTCAGGAATCTTAATCAGACAAACAACAGGTGGAGATGAAAATAATAAAGGAAAATTTACGCCTATCGAATAACTTTAAATTACGATTAATTAATTTAATACTTTATTACACCATAAAAGAGTAAAAGAAAATTTAATGACAAATATGAAGCGTGTACATGAAATGAAACGGCAGGGGGGGTATTTCGATCTCTTCAGAATCTTTCTACATAGTTAAGTACCGATTTATCGTCTTCAGCGTTAGTACTTTATCACTTCCCTTGTTTTGAGGAATCTCAGTAAGTTCCATGACCAGAAAAATCCAACCGAAATGAAAGATTCTCCAAGTTGTCCCCCTTAAGAGATTTTAAAGATGTCAAAAGTAAGATCAACATCTAAGGAGATACAGCACATTATACACCAATACTGTTTAGACCATCTAGATTTTTCCACTAAACACTACACATCATCTTTGATATGAATAGTTGAGACAGTAGTAGTAGTGATAGCGATGAAGGGGGATCCAAGATTATCGACATCAGAGATTCAAATAACAATGAAAGGTGTATTCAGATTTCAACTAATCTGAAGGTGAAAATTAAGTATCGTCATCCGCTTAAATCACGCTCCTTGTAGACTTGACCGCTCAATGTTCAATACAGTGTATTAATTTTTCGTTCTAATTATAACTTCCCTTATTCATCAGCAAAACTGTATAAGAGTTTTGACTGATATTGGTGACATCGTGATAGCTACTCTCTCAGTGTATTCGCAGTTGTTGTCTGGGTGACCGGAGTACTTACTCTCCAGCTGACAATTTCCACAGTCTGCATCCAGTTCACCTGCTCTCGCAGATTCCTAGTACTTCCATGCAGTAATTTCTCTTTTTATGGCTACCAGGGTAGCCTGCCCAGCTTCGTGTATTGTATGAACCGTCCACGTCCTAATGCTTATTTCTGCTTCCATAGAGAGAATACACATCGGTTGACTGGCTTCTCTTAAGCTTTGCCAGCCTGCGGTGCAATTCCGTCTCTCTGGTTCCAGCGAAAAATAAGTTTATTTTATATAGTTTTGAAAATTTTTCTTGTGCTTTAAAGTTTCTGTAGAAGTTTGATTAATTTTCCGCGGTAAGGTGGCCAGCCTCACTCTCGACCCTCCCTCTTTCCCCGGGCTGAGGACCGCTTAGAAAATTAGCCAGCTAGTAAACTAGACGAGGGTCAGAAAATTAGAGCGCGCGTCGCTAGAAGCATTTCTAAGAGGCCAGTGCAGACTTTTTTCAACAGGTGCGTTCGACAGCTGGCTCCATACTGAAAATAAAATGGCTAGGTAGAAAGAGTTTGCGGCGAACAAGGAACTTTGAGAACGAACAGAACAATAACCTATTGCTCAAGAAATATGGGATGGACAATGGAGATGGACGTGGTAAACACCACTTAGGAGACCGTTGAGTGACATCGCGGTCAGTGAAGGCCACCAATTTAATGGAATCCTAATGGAAACGACGAGTTGGGAGTGATTCTGAAGGCAACATATAGGAGATCGTTTGGGGAGGGGGCAGATGAGAGACTATGGGCAGTCGTAGGCCCATATGAAGAGAACCAGAGAGGAAAGAACAAGGAGGAGATGTGCTGTTGAAGCCATAATTTGCACTCAGAACCCGAGAGAACATTAATAATGATAAGCAAAACAGCTTCTTTTAAACAATTTCTACCAACTAACCTTTAAAGTTATAATATATATATAGTGATTGATTCCTAAGTAAATTTGCAGACAACCGACTGAAACAGCATGTTAGTAGACTCACCTTTAATTACCTTGATACAATCAACATTCGGCGGATAGTTGTCAGGATACAGTGGACTAGTGAAGGTGAATAATGTTGGCTGTCGACTGCGTAGAACATTTTTGAAACGTTGATTATAATCATAAAGATGTTGCTTTTCTGTTTTAGGCAACTGTACTAAAGAGGTTGGATCAAATTCAACAGCATTAATCCAATTCGATGGTTTATGACGATCCCAAAGTTGACTGCCAGCAGTTTTTAGATTTGACGAAGATGATGATAATGTTGATGACGACGTTGAAGATGGAGAGGCGGCGGCGGCGGAGGAGGCCGCTGATGCAACACCCCTTGATGCTACTGTAGGCGAAGATGACAGAGAGCCAGCAAAAGTTACATATCTGTTTTCTTCTTTAGGATCATCTAAGTAATATGAATTGATGAATTGATCACAGACAGTTGACTGATTAGGAAGACGATACGCTGACCAGTAGTCGATGTCGATCATTGAGCCTGTGAATAATTTAACCGATCTGGTTAAATCTCTATCACAGTAGCCATGATTAATCAGTAAAACTGTCACTAGAACAAGAAGGAAGATTAAAACAAAACGGAAAAGAAATTTAAAAAAACACAACAGAAATACATGGAACATTGAACACTTTTAACAAGTTTTCACTAATCTTACCGTTATTTTACTCAAGTATTACTTACTGATTATCCAATAAGGATGTTGTCGCTATACTGTGCAGGAGAAACCGTAAACTGCCTAACTGTTATGAAATGTTCTCTGCCACTACAGTTAAAATAGCTATCCTGATAAATTTATCAAAAAACACATGACAAAGAAAGCGGAGAAGGGCTACTCATTATCTGTAAACAAGAAGCCTCTTTATATACGACTGCAATTCAAGAGCGATATACCAAGTGAAATAATTACGAGGAAATTAAGAAAATCACTTCAGAGAACTTTTAATGCTGGCGAACTACACGTCTTATTCTCTACACGACCGATGGTGATTCCTTGACTGAAAGATGAAGTACCCAGACAAACTAGCTACTTCTAATTGTATCTACCAATTCAACTGAGCTTGTTGTGGAGCGAGTTATATTGGCCGTTGCTCTAGGAACTTGATTTTTCGTGCTAGAGACTATCTCCCACTATGGCTAAGTAAAGGTGTAGTTAAAACCATTAACAGTTCGATATTGGACCATCTGGTGCAAACCGGCCACAAGGCCAGCGTGGAAGAATCCTTCTCTATCATCTACCGTGTGCCAAATAAATTGCCAAAATCATCGAAGCACCGCATGCTCCAAACAGCAGAGGCTATTGCAATTCGCCTCAAACAACCAGTGCTCTGTGTTCAAAAGAAGCAAGTCCAGCCACTACTACTGCCCTGGCTGGCCTTCAGTAGAGACTATAAATTCATGAATTTGTAATATTATCTTTCCTAATTTTTCTGGCATTCAGCTTATTTTATGTTGATGCTATTGAGCTGTAATCTATCAGTGTTATTGATTCGATGTTATTTAAACAGCATTAATGTTGTTCATAACACTAATTCATTCATTCCCTATAGTGTATATATAACTGCAGAGCCTGATGATGGAGTTATCAAAAAGAATACTCTTTGTTCAGTATTCATTCTTTTGAAAAAAGACTATTCCTGTTTTATCGGGTAGCTGATAATGTATTACTCTGTAACCAAATCATAAGGAAGGGGAACATTTTTGAATTCAGGATTTTGATTCTTCAGTATTTCGATCCTGAGGGAGTTGACAAAGACACAGAGCACCATTTGATGCCTGGCTGACTAACTCACTGAGTACCGACATAGGGGCTTTGCACAGAAGTGCGACAGTTCAAGTTGCCACAATTCATGTAGCATACAGAGGAGGAAATGTAATTGAAAAGGACTATCTGTACTGAGCAGAAATGTCGGAGAGAAAGAATAGAAGCATGGAAATATATGAAGTTGATATAAGAATAGAACTTCGGCACTGTGGTAGAGTATAATTCCATTATGGAAAATTTATTTTGATAAAGTCTACTTACGATACATTTCGAGCAAATTTATGGCTCACAATCATATCAAGTTACTCACACAACTTTCTGACTTCATTTATACAACGTATTCTAACAGATATTTAGACTTTAATTCATCTCATCCATTATCTATAAAGGCAGGCTTAGTTAAGGGCTGTCTAACAAATCGAGCAATAACAACACTAAGTAGTAAGTTAAAAGAGCTAAATGACGAAATGAAACAAATAGAAGAAGCGTTGGTGTTAAATAACTAACTATCCTATAAAATTCATTAGGAAGATCAGAAAAGGTCAAAAGCAAAATAAAAATAATGGTGAACCTAATGATGACAACATAAATAAAAGAGAATATAAGGCATCTACCTGCAGTTTTACCATACAAGGAGGGGACATCTGAGACCCACGTAGGATTCTCAATAAAGCAGGAATTAGTGTGGCATTTAAACCTACAAACTCACTAAGGTGGGACAAGCTCTGTAGGTTAAAGAACCCTGTTGACCCAATAAGACAAAATAATATAATTTACAAAATATCTTCCAATGACTCTGAGTGAAGTCAACAACATAGGCGAAAACATTAGATCGGGGGTAGTCAGATTGTCAGAACATAAGAATTTAGCTAAGGTTAGAATGACTGACCCTGCGAAGACAGATGACTAATTTAGAAAATAGCTCAGCAGCAATCACACTGCATGCATTAACACACAACCACACAATAAGGTGGGAGAGGGTTAAAATTCTAAAAAGTAATATAGGTAGGTGGAGAGCGAGAGAGGTTGATCACTGAATCTTTGTTCATAGAATGTACACCCAACACATGCAATAAGAATGACTCATCACTCATACCGGAAATATGGAAAATACTACTACCAATCAAGTCAAGCGATGAAAAATAATGGAATTATATAAACGAATTCGGAAAGTTGTGTAAGTAGTGCCTTGATATTATAATGAGCAGTAATAGATTGTGCTCGAAACGTGGTCATCAGTAAATATTACTGCATACTGTACTGCTGGAAAAAATTAGGGTTTAATGGATCTGTTAGATTATAGCGATTTTGAACCATATCGCCAATCATCTCAAGTTATCGTTCCTCACAATCGAAAGGCCCCCTTAACCAGAAAGTCTACACCCATTCTTAAGTGGCTAGCTCAAACCAATATTGAGAGACTTTATGGATTTGTGTCACCTTCTGATTTGACCACCTACAACTCTTTCCCAACCTAATCCTATATCTAGAAAATCAAAACAAGTGATTCAGCGAAGAGACTCTTCAACGAATTTATCATCAAGCTGTACAATCGTATATATATATATGGTTTTTAAGAAGTTATATCCGGTGAGGGAATTGAATCATAGGTGTGAATGCATAAAATAATAATTAATAATATGAAATGCAATTAAAACTAAAATGTTTGTGATTATAATCGTAGTTAAATGTCAAGTGGCAAAGCAAATTAATGTCATATATAGAATAATTCATAGGATGGATAGAACTTGGAAAGGGTGTGCAATTATAAGATTAGTAGACAAATCGAATAAAATAAAAACGTTACGTAATACTGTGTGAAATTTGATAGCATAGAATTTAACGTTGTAAAAAAGGAATTGATTTAGAATGACAAGTGGAACAAGTGAAATAATACCGGGGACAGTTCAAAGTGAGAGTAGTAATAGTAACAATTGACATAATAAGGAAGAGAATACAAAGTGAATAGAAAAAATGAAAAATTGGTAGAGCCAAAATATGATTGGGGATTACCATACTTTAGCATAGAGGGATTAAGACCATGAAAGTTGGAGGGGTTGAACAAACTTTTTCTTAAGTAATTATTTGCTATACCTAACATTGCTCGACAGGAAGGATGATTCTTGTCATGTCTAACAGGTGTTCTAGCCACCTCAAACGATGTAGCTTTACAAATTCATTGATTGATTTGCCCTACATACCTAGCAGTTTATATCTAACCTTAATATTACACATCATATTACAACACTGAACACGGGAAATAGTAGACAGACAACTAGCCTTTTTACAGCCTCTACTTTCAATGACCATTGTCTCACAGTCATAAAGGAAAACAAGGTGAACTGCAGCACAGATCTCAGTAGATCCTATTAAATGGAAACATACTCTCTCTATAACTGTCTCTGTCCACTTATGGATCTCTCCTCCTAACAGTCAGTGGAATTTCACCCACAGGCCGAATTGGTTATCAGGCTCACCTAGAAGCTTAACAACTCAACTGTTATTCTCAAACGAGGATAAGGAAAAGCAAACAAAACAAAAAACTAATAGCAGTCCACTTCTAATATCGATTTGTACAGAAAAGAGTTCTCTTTCATGCTTATCATATTGCTTTATCGCTTGATGAGTAAAACAAAACAAAACAAAACCCAGTAACTAATATTTTTTTTATCATGAATAAAGAAGATTATGTTTGCTTTTACTGACAGTGAATTGTTTTTAATCATGAATTTGTATGTATGTGTGTATTGGGTATACGAGAAGAAATAATTGCCCTACACACACACACACGCACTCGCACATGCACATACACACAGACATTGGGATAGGCGGATTGAATCAACATACACATGAATATGCACACGCCGTCTTCACTGAGATGATGACTTTATTGTTAAGTGATTCTGACGAAAACACACAACAGGAATAACAGCAACAACACCAACAACAACAACACCAACAATGATAACAGTAATAATATTGCAGAAGAAATAAATTCACTTCTAGAAGTCATCAGGGAATTGATCAGCGTAATGGATGAGATAATGACGATGGTATGACGATGTTCATGATGATTTTGTTTAGAGGCAAGAGTGGGAGAAAAATAATAATTTTCTTCTACAATATATGAAATTTAAAACTATAAAAAACTGATGGAAGAAGGTGAAAAACAGAAATTTGATGTGAATTAACTTTGAATGAAGTTTTATGTCCGTTTTCGTATTTCTCCACATAAATACACACACGGCAACCCACAACCCGTTTCTCTCTGTCTCCTACACTTTCTCCTCTACTTTTTCCTCTTATGCTTTTCTTCAACAACAAGGACTTTCTTTGATGCGTTACACCATTTTGACATTCGTATCTGCAATAAACGACAACATACGAAGCCTTTGTTACACTGTCTTTCCCGGAGTCGAACAAGAGAGTTGTGTTGAAATCTACCTAGGTCCAATGCTTAATTTTATTCAATTCAACCGTCTCTAGTGTAAACACATCATCCTTATTGATACGATTTAATTTTTAGGTCATTTTTTCTAATTAAACCTTTGGGAAATGCAGTTTGAGTTTGGGACTCATCTCCAGTACGCACTCGTCGACTGGGTTCGAGCTCTTGACCTTCCACTTAAAATGCAATCTCGCAGACAATTCAGCCAATGGAGCCCAACTTAGTGGCTATCCCGTAGATTCTAACTTCTATCTGACTGGCAGTAGACAATGTCATCGCTGGCTAGTATTCGTCTTCACTCCTAAGTAAGTGGGCCCCACTGGTCAAGACTTCAAACTA